AGAGAAGGAGGAGGAGAGAGAGAGAAGAGAGAGGAGGAGAGAAGAGAGAAGAGAGAGAGAGAGAGAGAGAGAGAGAGAGAGAGAGAGAGAGAGTGAGAGAGAGAGAGAGAGAGAGAGAGAGAGAAGAGAGAGAGGAGAGAGAGAGAGAGAGAGAGAGGAGGGAAGGAGGGAGGATAGAGGGAGAGTAGAGAGGGAGAGGAGGGAGAGGGAGGGAGAGAGGGGTGAGAGAGGATAGGGAGGGAGAAAGGGAGGGAGGAGAGGGAGGGAGAAAGGAGAGTAGAAGGGAGAGTGAGAGGAGCAGGAGAGAGAGAGAGAAAGAGAAAGAGAAAGAGAAAGAGAGAGAAGAGAGAGAGAGACGAGAGAGAGAGAGAGAGAGAGAGAGAGAGAGAGGAGAGAGAGGAGAGAGAGGCGAGGAGAGAGAGAGAGAGAGAGAGAGAGAGAGAGAGAGAAAAGGGAAGGAGTGAAAAGACAGAGAGGGAAGAAAATGAGAGAGGACTAATGCTATTAATATTAGTTGATTTTGCTTTATATATAACCACCACCACTAATACTGACAATGACACATCACAAATACTTTCTAGTTGACTGCAAGTCATCTAACAACATATTGGACAACATCAACTCTACGTTTCCATAAACAAGACGTGCTCTGTTGAGAATCCACATCTACATTAGTGTTAAGTGGGAAGAGGAGATAATATTTCTTGCAGAAGGTACAAGGATCAAAGAAATAGTCATAGTAAGAGTACAAGACAACAGGATGTTTTTTGAATACGACAATGAACAAGTCAAACAATGTATTGTGGAGAAAAAGTCTAAAAGAGCATATGGTGAAAAGCAATTTGTGTTGCAGTTCATCTACAAAAGGGTGAAAGTGTGATTACAGTGCAACTTTCTGCAAACTACTATCCTGAATCCACAAAAATTTACCGATGTCATGTAATGACTACACTTAAGAGATTAAAAAACAAGATGAAAAACCTAAGTTCCAAGATAAAAAATCAAAAGAAGAAGAAGAAGAAAAAAAAGCTTAGTATTAGAAAACTAACTAACAAGAGGAATGATTAAGGGAATTCTTATTTAACTGAAAGAGAAATGGAAGAGATATGAGTAAGATAAATTGAGTGTTAATGCAGGCTATCAATCATAAAAGAAACATTACACTCTGGCCTCTGATTATGGAACAGAAGCATATGTTCAATGGCACCCCTATCAAGTCATATAGAAGTATCTCCCTTCTGTTTATAAAACTTCTTTTTGTATATATTATCTTTCTTTGCTCTTCATAACTCTATACATTAATGAAACCTTGCCACATGTCTCACATAAATATAAAGTTTCTGATTTTTTTTTTCCTTTTTTCTTTTTTACTGTTAGCTGTTTCACTCCTGACAAGAATTTAAGGATTTTGTGTACTTGAACAATTTCTATTGTCTTACAAAACAACCATTTTCATTAGCTAAATCACCTTGTCTGGCAAGAATACTAGCCATGCCTACAGTAATATATGTACATTTATTGTTGTTACACATAGATGGCTCTACAAGTGCTTAGCCCCCTGGGAATCAGTTATTTGTCCCACCTATCTCATCTGTTTATCCTTTTCCTTGTTTTTTTTTAAAGAATCTTTTGTATTAATCTCTTGTCTCCCTTTGTCATTAATATTCTAATAAAAGTTTTATACCCATAATATCATAAGAATAATAACAGTATCAATATCAATAGTATTAGAAAGAAAAAACATTTTCTGCTATTTCAAAAAATGGGGAAATCAGGCGCAATCACTCGGGACTCCTTGGTAGCTGAGCACATGTTGAGCCATCTGTACATAACAAAATTCACAAAAAGGTATAGGGGACAGTACATAAATCTGTGATCGTTGAGTCAGCAGTAATAGCAACAATGATATTAAGCCCCTAAGTTTCTCTTTACTTTTGCATTTTATTCAACAGGAAAACTTAAGACTAAATAAAAGGTGTGGTTGGTTTACGCAATGAATTCTTATTGGATATCTGTTCATCTTTTGAACTGAATAACCACTATTTGAAATATGTGAAGTATGGGCTGTGAAACACTATGAGAAAGAAAGATAAAGAAAGTGGTATTGGGATCTAACAAGCACCATACTCAAATTACATTAGTTATGAAGTTATGTGGGACATCAGTTTCTATTTAGTAGAAAACACTGATATTTCCTGTAAACACATACTTCATATACTCTTTCTGGAGATATGAAAAAAAAAATAACACTTGTCTGTACTGACGTATCAATAGTACAAACAAAGCAACAAAACTATCTAAATTGAACAAATGATGGTTAATATGCACAGTTATTCCAAAAGGTAACACTAGCAGACAAAATATTATCATCTCTGCATAAACAAGAAACAATGCTAATCACTCTCCCTCAAAAATATATACTTACAGCTTGAACTATTACTACTGACTCATTTTTTCTTGGAAACTTATTTAAGCCTGGTCCCTTAGAAATCTCTCATACTAAATGTCTTTTTATTAGAAATGACTCATTTCTTTACTTACCTTTAAAATTCAATCTAATTAAGTTTGCTGATGGCAAAGTCACACATTAAAACTACTCTTTGCTCATTAACCCATTGGCACTGGGTATATGCAGTCCATTGTGGTTTTGTTTAATTTTGTTTATACACAGATCGTTTCCTGAATGCATAGTCAAAAGGAGTCAAATTAGTAAGCCTAACTAATCTCACCCATTTGACCCATTCCTTGAATTTTTAGAAAAGAAGTTTTTGTATCTACTAATATTATCATCATTTATTAATTTTGTTAATATCAATATTATTATTGTTGTTGTTAAACCTTTCCTAACAAGTGTTTTTGGCCTAAGCTGGATGTCTTCACAGTTTGTGTGGTTTTGATTACTTTCTTCAAGGTACACATGCAAAGTATGGAAAAGTTGCACGCCATACATTTTCATGCAGAGATACACCCTTCTAAAGGTGAGTAAAAAAACAGGTTCTTTTTAAGGTATGCACAGCAACCAATGACTATAAAACCTTAAAAATTACTGCTTGAGCAATGTATTTTGGTCAACTCGGTGGATGAAGTCCCCTTTATAATCCAAGAAACTGACTAAATGAGCAAGGTCAAGCAGATCTAGTACCTGACTCCTTGTGACTGCCTAAGAATTTGGGAGCCATCTGTGTGTAAACAAAATCTATAAATTAAACCACAGTGGATAATGGATATATACATGCACTTGCATTGTCAATAGGTTGATATGAAACTTTTAAAGAATTTCCTCTGAAATAATGGTACCTATAAATATATCACTCACTCTTTTTACTACATTCAGTGAATCTTTTATTTCCTTATAACAACTGTCTCACACAAAAGGAGAAAGCTAAGTTTAAAACCTCAAAATATCATAATAGTCAGGAGTTCTCATCTACTCAGATATATAAAGAAAACTGTGTGGCAAATTTATTTGAAGTTTTGAGCACAATTCAGAAAGATAAAATTAACCCAAAGCCACCAGAGTTGGCATGTACATACATGGCATGCCCCCTGTGAGTCTAATTTTTCAATTGTTTTTAGACAAAGATCCCCAATGTGCCAATTACAAGTACTACCTGTCTCACCTTTTTACCCGTCTCCTTAATTTTTATAAATATTCTTTTCTGGTATCTAATGTCAATAACACTATAATAATTATGTCCATAATGAAAATAAAAGAACAGATATTAATAGCATTAGCAAAAGAAAGTTTCTTTCACAGACTCAGGGAAAAGTGAAATCATTTGTGGCTAAGCACTTGCAGAGCCATCTATGTGCAGACATTTTACAAAACAATACTACAATGAACACATTTTCCTGGAGACTTTGGGCCAATATCAATAATAAAAATAATAATAATAATATTATTATATAATAATAATAATAAATAATAAAAAAAAATTAACACAATTAAAGTGCATGTTCATTCTCTATAGATTATGAATAAACCTTTCTAAGACACTTAATGCTTTCAATACATATTTGCAGTGAATCAAGCAACACCCAAAACATATAAAAACAATCAAGACAGGACCAATACATCTCACCCAATAAGAATGAATGATAATCATAAACAACAGTGCTTGACACCAAGACAACATATGGATGAAAAGGGGCTGTTTGATATCTTGTACAATACTAATGTCAGAAAATTGCTTTTAGGTTGTGCAACTCTAATTCTTTTATATGCAAAGATAACAAAATCTATGGTATGAGTTTTGTGGTCTCCATTTACAGTGGCAAAATGAAAACATGAATGATCTTTATAAAGAATAATCCCAAACAGGTGTGCTACCATGGAAATCAGACTTTTAGTTTTTCCTTCAAAGTCAGTCTGTTGTCATATGTATTCTAGTATATTTATTAACTGTGTCTACATATAGGTGGTTCCACTACTACTATGTCAACAAGGAGTCAATTATCAGTCCTAGCTTTCTGACTTGTTTACCCTTTTCCTTGACTTTTGAAGTCTCTCTTCTATTTTTATTGTCATTAATATTTAAATATTACACTAATCATGACACTATGATGAAAACAGCATCAATATTATGAGCATTGGTAAAACAAACAAAAAAACTGGAAACTCAAGGAATAAGATAATCAGGAGAGGACACAAATACCAAATAATTCACCTCTTGTGGTGCCATCTGTGCTAAAACCTTTGGACCTTCTTGTACCCTAAAGGTATTTTTCTTCACTTAATTTTTTTCTATACATTTACTTCTCTTCCACTATTCCAACTTTTCCAATTTCTTCATGAATGGACACTCATCTTCCTCCTATATCTAATCCAACCTTGTTTTATAATCTGTCTCTAACTTTTTGTTGACAAACCTTCAAGGAATCAAATAACAGAAGAAAGTGGAAAGTAAGTTTCTAATTCTTTCATGCATTCTCTCTCTAAATATGTATATATATTCGTGAGTGTGTGTGTGTGTGTGTGTGTATGTGTGTATAGTTGTGTGTATATGTGTGTGTGTGTGTATGTGTGTGTGTGTGTGTGTGTGTGTGTGTGTGTGTGTGTGTGTGTGTGTGGTGGTGTGTGTGTGTGTGTGTGTGTGTGTGTTGTGTGTGTGTGCTTGTGTGTGTGTTTTCATGCGTGCATGTGTGTTTGTGTGCATGTTTGCACGCACGTACATGCGTGTGTCTGTGTGCATGTTCGCAAGCATGTGCATGTGCGTGTTTGTGTGTGTATTCACACGCACGTGCAGGCATGTGTTGTGTGCCCGTTCGCACACAAACACATGTGGGGGAGTGCCTGTTTGCACGCACGTGCATGCATGTACTTTTCCTCTTTTTATCTTTATTTTCTTCCTTTGCTTTTATAATCCAAACCTTAGGCAGACAGGAGAAACAGAAACATAAAAAAGAATGCACACATATAAGACAGATAAGATAAGACAGCAACACAAAACACAGAATAAATTAAAAAAAAAAATAGAAAACCAAAATAATCAACAGAAACATTATACATGCAAACTACCAGATAATAAACTGACTTGACGAGGCTGGACACACTGGGGGGGGATGGTCTTACCGTCATTACCTGGCATGAGTGCCTGGTCCTGGTCCGGGGTGGGGGAGTGCCTGCATCCCCACCTCTGGGAGGCACCAAGGCACTTTCAATACCCTCATCCTCACTGCTAGGAGGCCTGTCACGGAGAAGTGAAAGGTTACTTCAGTATACAAACATTAGGATTATCTACATCTACTTAAAATCTATTAAGACATACGTGCACACGAACGACACGCACACACACACACACACACACACACACAAAAAGATAATTATCATAACTTATCTTCATATCTTATCATATTTTAATAGTATAAATAATAATAAATATAAATATCATCACTATAATCATCACAATAATAATCCTTTTAACAATATATATGAAAATAATCAATAATAATGATAATAAAAATAACGATGATGATGATGATGATGTGATGATGATGATGATAATAATAATAATGAGAACAATAATAATGAGAATAGATAAAAATAATAACAATAAAAAATAATAACAACTATAACATTAATATCATTTCCAACATCAAAAATAATAATACTAATACAATTATTAGAGTCAATAATAATAATAACAAATAGAAAAGAAGAAAAACAACAGCAACAACAACAACAATAATAGAAAATAATAATTAATAAATAATGACAATAACAATAACAATTACACCAATAATAATAATAATATAATAATAATAATAATAATATTCAATAACAACAATGGTAATCATAATAACAATAGCAATAACAGTAATGATAGTACTGCTACTACTAATAATAATAACTATTCATAATGACAACAGTAATAATAAAAATATCAATAAAACTAACATACATGAATAAATAAGGTAAATCAGAAAATTACACCTTACATTTTCTTAAACAGAACCTTCATATGCCAATAATGATAAATGGGGGGATGTAAGCAAAACTAATCCACACAACTCACAGATGATGGCGGCTTGAAGATCCAGCTAAGGGAGGTGGGTCTATGACTTGCTCCACTTGCTCCCTGCGAGTTCTGCGTCCTAGTGGTGGAGGCTGGCTGTGATCTGCCCTTCCAACTGAAGGTCCCTGGGGTGCAGGAGGACCCAAATCGCGCCCACCAGAATAAGCAGGGAGAGCCCGATCAACCCACTCACTTCCTCTACCTCCCCACTCATCCCTGTAGCTCCTTCTAAGGGTATACATCAACTTTTTATGTTAGAGTGATTTCTTTATCTTTAGGGCCAGACACAAAATCATGTAAAAAGAGGGAATAAAATTGTGATTATCTATTTTCTTTTAACATAAGAAATAATTAACAAGCTAAAATCATATTTGATTATGACTTGGGTGAATATTATCATCTCAACATGGTTTCATCTGTCTTAATGTTGAATATATTTCAAAGTCTTGTCATTTATAATCCAAGAGAGGTTTTTCACATTATAAGCCAGAAAGGAATATGAATGAAGTTTAAGTTCTGAGAAACACCTATGGAATTATGGAAAAGTGATAGGCAAAGACTGATAACAAATAGTCTAGTCTTTTACATTCATTACCTCCAGATCACTATTTCACTATTTTTTTAGTTCTTTTCAATAGATATTTAGAAATTTACATTTTTTCAAAATCTGACCTGGGATGACTCCATTGTTCTTGATGGGGTGGCAAAGGACCCTGACGGTCCCCTACCCACTCATGAGGTTCCTCTCCCCATTCTCCACCTCGACTGCCAACTGCAACACCATACTCATCTCCCCAGTCTTCATGCCTATCGAGATCATGATGAAGAATAAGCATTTACTAAAGATGAGAAATGCTGATAAACTTGAATGTCAGAATATGTTTCAGATCTATACATATGCTGGTAGGAAAAAAGGGGAAAAAAAAAAAAAAAAAAAAAATTAAAACCATGCCTCAATCCCTAAATAAGCTCAAAATCATTATTTTCTTTTTCATTACATCTCCCTCATAAGAACTACCTGAACATTTAAATCATATTACCACTAATGATATAAGTATAAGTCACCTGGAGTCAGTAGGAACCATTACAATTAAGCTAGCTAACTGTCTCTTCAAAGCCTCCACGTCTAAAATCATATGACATAAAGAAAGGACCAGTCTGGAGTACACTAATCAAATAGTAAAAACCTGGGGTGTTTATGCCTTTCCCAAGCTGCTGGTGGACGGCCTCCGACCCAATCCGGTTGGTGGCGATGACGAGGAGGAACATGGGGGGCAAAGTGCTCTGCTCTCTCCAACCGCTCCATTCCACGATGCTCCTCCACCCATGCTTCATGAGCTCTTGGGTCAAGGCTACCTCCACTTCTGAGTAGTAAGAGAAATATCACTTGAAAACCAAAGTTTATTCACTTACAGTATAGATCTTCTTACAAAAAATATTTCAGATATAGACTGGTAATTCATGAAAAACATTTTTTTACCTTCTGCGTTCATCTGGAAAACGAGTATCAATTGGAGGGCCTCTTCGATCAGAACGACGATCCTCCATAGGAGGCAGTCCTCGACGATCATGTAAAGATAATTCGTCATATCGATCACGACCTGCTTCATAACGACTGCGTTCACGTTCACCTGTGATTAATTACAAATTAATGACAATATCTGATAGTTAATAAGAAATCAAAGGAATTTATCCTAACCAATGGTGAACTTCAAGACAAGAGTTTCATGAGACTTGAAAGTATACTATATGATTTATGATTATTTATGACACATTTCCAACTCACTCTGATATCTATCATATGCTGGGTCTTCGTAAGCTCGTCGATCATCAACGGGCATTACTCTTGCATCTATCTCTGGTCGCCCCCTGGGTGAATAGAACTCTCTTTCTCCTTCATACTCCCTGCCACCACCACGTACCACTACTTCTCTCTCCCTTGCAAATTCGTGCTCTCTTGCATAGCGTCCTGCAAAATGAATATCACATATGAGAAAAGAAGTAAATCTATGTGCAGATATTGTGCTCTACATTTTTCTAATGGTCTAAATAATCCATACCTCTCCTGTCATCTACTTCTCTCATTCTCTCCCTTTCACGTTCTTGTTCCCTCTCCATCAGTTCCACTCTCTCCCTTTCTTTCAACAGCTCTCTATCCCTCATCTCCCTTTCCCTCAATTCTCGTTCTCTCAACTGCTCCCTTTCACGATCTTCTCTCCTTGGATCATCACGTCTTCGTTCATCATAATGATCCCGTTCATGCCTGTGAATAATTAAAAAAGGTACAAAACATTGACTCTTGTATATGGCAATTATTTTCATTCATTTTTATAAAGTAATACCACAGACTAACAACTCACATAAAACTTCTACTTATAATACCTGAAGACATTATATCTAAACTTTGAAATATCTTACCTGTCATAATCTCTATGTCGATGAGGATCCTTCCTTTCAACCTCTCTTGATCTTGATATGGGTGACCGACGTTCTCGGCGCTGTTCAACATATTCTTCCATTCCGCGCTCCTTTTCATATCTCCGACTTGGTGATTCTGCTCTACTACTGGAATGATAACAAATATATTTTTGTAACAATAGAATAGTACTTTACAAAAAAAAAGTGATATGGAATATCTATTATGATTTACTAAAACAAAGACTCATTTAGTATCACAAACCTGTATCTGTCCCTTCCAAGCTGCTCAGGAGACATTCTACGCATTCGGTCATCAACTCTTGGATCTCGACTCCGTGATGAACCCGCATGAGATCCAAGGCTAGGGTCACGCCCATGACTTAGGGATCTCTCTGGAACAGCCATGCGGTTGTCTCGGTATTCTACACGTTCTCTAGGGGAATGTGACCTCTTTCTGCCTGCAAAACAATATGTTACTAGTCTATTAAATCCCTAGTTCATGTATTTTTACTTCACTGGCAAAATAATTACTGGGAATATATCTATCAAAAATATACTTAAGAAGTTGCATTAAACAAGCATCCCGTATTACTGTTTTCCATATCAAATGATATTACCATTCACCAATGGAGTAATAATAAGTCTATTGTTAATAGGTTAACTATAAATCTTGACAAAGCAGTTATATAACATCAGTGATGGGATAGAGAAAAGCCATTATCTATCTTTCCCACTGCTATAATTTGGGTGACATTTCATAAATTACATAACTTCAAAACTAACAAATATCAATAATAACAATAATAAAATAAAGTAAAATGTAAAATATAAACTTTTACTGTTAGCTGATTTTATTGTGCATTCAGAATATTAATAATAATCATGTAATTGGCACAATATGTCACTATAAATATACTTACTCTTACTTCGTTTAGAGGATCCAGGTGATATCTTGTGCGACTTTCTCGAACTGGGAGAAGGTGAGCGTTTACGTCCAGGAGACAAAAGTTTCTTGGACATGGAACTCTTCCTTCTGGTGGGTGAACGGCTAGTCTTGTGACTCCTAA